ATCAGAACTATATCTCTGATATGGTTTGGATCTGTGTCCCCACCCAAATCTCCTGCTGTATTGTAATCCCTAATGTTGGAGGTGGGACCTGATGGGAAGTGACCGGATTATGGCAGTGGGTCCTTCATGAATGGTTTAGCACCATCACCTTGGTGCTGTACTTGTGATGGTGAGTGAGTGACTTCTTACAAGATCTACTTGTTTAAAAGTGTGTAGCACCTCCCCTCATTCTCTCTTGCTACTGCTTCCACTATGTGAGATGCCTCACTCCTCCTCTGTTTTGTGCCATGATTGTAAGTTTCCTGAGGCCTCCCCAAAACCAGAAGCTGCTATGCTTCCTGTACAGCCTGCAGTACCATAAGCCAATTAAACCTATTTTCTTTATAAATTACCCAGTCTTGGTATTTCTTTCTTCCAAAATATCCTCCTTAGAATTTCTGCTTTCTCCACCACCTGCCCTAAACCAAACCCACCATGTATAGACAGTAAAGCTGTGGGCTTTTCCTGCCTGAGTTGGGAAGATATAAAGTGGCAAGGTCCGTCTGCCTCCCCAGACAAAAAAAAATTACAAACTTGCTATTCTTTCCCAGTAGCAGTTTTCCATTACTTAAATAGTTCTAAAACTGTTGTTTCACTTTTGTTCATTTTCTAGTGCCCTAATATGGTTATTAATTTTTTAAATTGTCCAGTTTTGTACATGTTTGCTACAGAATAAAGTTGCCCATTCTCTTCATGACACTATTTTGGGAAGTGGAATCCTAGTGATTTACTTTTAGAACAGATGTAGGTATAGATCTCTTATACCACCCCACACACAAACTCACACATATTGACCTTCTAATACACTTTTGTATCACACTACAATGTTTAGTAAAGTAAATATTCAGTGTTTACATTATTATTACCATAATACTACAATGGAGATGTTTCTTTTCTTGTTCAACCTTTCTTTTTTCCTTCCTGCAGTGACTAACTGCTTCAATCACCTTTTAGCTAATTCTTTCCATATAATTAAATGGTTTGTCTCGAGATTATCTGTCACATGTTGATATGGTTTGGCTCTGTGTCCCCACTCAAATCTCATGTCAAGTTGTAATCTCCACGTGTTAAAGTTGGGGCCTGGTGGGAAGTGATTGGATCATGGGAGTGGTTTCTAATGGTTTAGCACCATCTCACCAGTCTCATGATAGAGTTCTCACAAGATCTGATGGTTTAAAAGTGTGTGGCAGTTCCCTGCTCTCTCTCTCCTGCCCCCTTGTGAAGAAGGTTCTTGCTTCTTCTTTGCCTTCTGCCATGACGGTAAGATTCCTGAGACTTCCAAGCCATGTAGAACTGTGAGTCAATTAAACCTCTTTTCTTTACAAATTACCCAGTCTCAAGTAGTTATTTACAACAGTGTGAAAATGAACTAAAACACATGTGGTCAAACAAATCAAAAAATTTATCAATTCCACTTTATAACTAAAAAAAAAAAAAAAAAAAATCAACCATGTATGTTGGCTCATGCTTGTAATCCCAGCACTTGGAAGGCTGAGGCAGGAGGATCACTTGAGTCCTGGAGTTTAAGATCAGCCTAGGCAACATAGGGAGACCCCACTTCTACAAAAAATTAAAAATTAGTCAGACATGGTGGTAAGCACCTGTGGTCCGAGCTACTTGGGAGGCTGAGGTGGGAGGATCACTTGAGCCCGGGAGGTTGAGGCTGCCATGAGCCATGATCATGCCACTGGACTCCAGTCTAGGCAACAGAGTGAGACTATGTCTCAAAAAAAAAAAAAAACTCTATTGCAATCTTCTCTCCCATTTGCTTCAATCTAGGCTGCTATTCTCTAGGCCTGCTGCCCACTCCTTACCCTGGGACTTCCTTATCCTGCTTTCCTTTATTGTACACCTTGTTACCCAATTCCATGTCATCTCTTCCTAGATTGAATCTCTAGTTTTGGTGATTTATATTTTATGGTGAATTACTAAGAAAAATAAACCTTTGAGAATTGTGTTTTGAGACTTTGTTATTTGCAAAATGGCTTTTATTATTTTCATATTTGACTGACAGCTTGACTGTGTACAGAATTCTGGGCTGAAAATCTTTTTCCTTTCAAATTATGAAGGCACTGCTTCACTGTTTTCTGGCTTTCAGCTCTGGTGTTAAGACGTTCAATGCTATTCTAATTCTTAATCTGTCTTATATTAACTGCCTTTTTCCCTCTGGAAACTTCATCTTTGGTGTTCTGAAATTACTCATTGCTGTGGCCTGAGGTGGCTTCCTTGCTATTCCTCTACTAATTACAGCGGGTACTTAGTGGACCCTTTCAGTCAAGAAACTGAAGTCCTAGCTCTGGAAAATAGTCTTGTATTTTTGGTATTTTTGTTATTGGATAATTTCCTACATTCTGTTGTCTCTATTCTCTCTTTCTAGAATTTCTATAAGCTAGATGTTGGTTGTCCTGAAAGGCTCAATTTACTTATTCATTTCACAGATACTTACTGGGTACTCACTATGTGCCAGACGTTACACTAAGTGCTGAGATCATACTGATAGACAAGATAGACAATGTCTCTACCTTCAGGAAACTTAACTGATTATATATATGTTTTGTAATTCTTTAATTTTAATTTTCTTTCTTTCTTTTTTTTTTTTTTGAGATGGAGACTTGCCCTGTTGCTCAGGCTGCAGTGCAGTGGCACGATCTTAGCTCACCGTAACCTTCGCCTCCCAGGTTCAAGTGATTCTCCTGCCTCAGCCTCCCTAGTAGCTGGGATTACAGGCGCACTTCACCACACCTGGCTAATTTTTGTATTTTTGGTAGAGACGAGGTTTCACCATATTGGCCAGGCTGGTCTTGAGCTCCTGACCTCAGGTGATCTGCCCATCTTGGCCACCCAAAGTGCTGAGATTACAGGTGTGAGCCTCTGTGCCCGGCCTCTTCTTTAATTTTCAATCTCTGTCTTTTGGTTTTAATTTCTGGCCTAATTCTTTACTTTTATCTTCCAATTCATTAATTTTTTTTTCTGAAGCTATTATATTTTTAAATTCCACATTCTCTGAATTATGGAAGCAATATTAGTTTATTTCTTCAAGGGCATTTTATTTTTTTTAAAGATTTTCTTCTGCTGCATACATAATGTGTTTCTTCTCAGTGCTTTTAATTTGCTTGCTTAATCATTTAATTGCCTTGGTTTTTTTTTTTTGTTGGAGATTTCCTCAAATATTTGGTGAGTCTCAATTCATTTCAATTTTAGTGTAAGGCAGTGAAATGCTGAGAGAAAGTTCTTGGGTATAGGTACAAGGTTTGTTGACAGCAGGATGAATGAATATAAGCTCTTTTTTTTAAAGAGATGGAGTCTCCCTATGTTCTTCAGGCTGAAGTGCAGTGGTTATTCATAGGTGCAATAATAGTGCACTACAGCCTCGAACTCCTGGGCTCAAGTGACCCTCCTGCCTCAGACTCCCAAGTAGCTGGGACTACAGGCATGTACCACTGTGCTCAGCTTAACCTCATTTTTGTTGAACATCGATGTTACCTCATTTTTGGTTGAATGTTACTGAAGAATTAGTGTCTACAAATCTTTTCTCTAGTTGGTATTCTTCCATTATTCAAAAAAAAGGGTATAGGAGAGGTCTTCCAATCTCCAACCTTGAAGCAAGTTGAAAATGAAGTGGGAAACCTAGAAGTCTAGTAGCTCTATATATACACTTTGAAATAATCATCCTGCTTCCAGCTTCTTGCCTCAGACTGCCTTCCCTGTTACCTGCTGCCACCAAATTCTGACCTGTTTTGGGGCTCTACAGAGATTATTGGCCCACTCCTTATTCAAATGATCTACAGACAGCAAAGCTGCAGCTCCCTCCAGGCTGCCAACTGTGTTCCAAAAAAGTTTGTTTACATCTCTTGTTTATGTCATTGTCATACCTTCTCCATTTCTTTGCCTTTGTTGATATACATCTTTTCATTCCTTAACTGACATTTTAACAGGACTTCAGGGAGAAAATAATTTAAAAATCAATTCACCTTATTTAACCAGAAGGCTTAACATTTTCTAAGGTATTGCTTCAGGAGCTTGCTTTCATTTTCCAAAAATGACGTTAAGGATGGTATCATTTACTAACTCATTTTTCCTTTCTGGCTCACCATGAACAAGTAACTATTTATAAGATTTTGATGATTAAACAAACAAGTAAACAAACAAACAAAAAATCATCATCTGCCTTCTCTTAAGTACAATTGCTTCATGTAAATCACGTCTTCTAATTAATTGTATTAAAAGTAATTATTCATCCTCCACAAGCTGACACAGAATGTTGCAGCTCTCTAGACACTGTAAACCATATCTTTAAATTGCAATGCATTTTAATTATCAGGATTTTCAGTATAATATTTTTAAGTAGTATAACAGAATTTACATAAAATATAATCAACATTACTGGGAAACAAAAAGAATAAGGGACAAAGTACAAAACTCAGAATGTTTTTTCTTCCATTTCAACAGGTCCTCTTCCATCCCCAGCCCCAAAATACAGCCCCAAGCCAGATGGCAGCCAAGAAAAACAACTCCTCCATCTCTGGGCACCAATTCTTCTGACTGAGGAGTTTTGTTAAGAAAAAAGCTCTGTTTTGTGAGTTACCAGGAAGGTAAAATGAAAAAAAAAAAAAAAAAGATGAAAGAAAGAGAGAAAGAAAGAGAGAAAAGCTCCAATTTTCTTTAAAATAGACCTAAGTACAAACTTTATACTATTGCTTTATATCTACAAAGAGGCTATGAAACACTGAAAATGACTCAAGTTCTTAATACTTAAAATTCAATACTCTGTACTTATGAAGGTCAAAATATACAAACTTCTTGGTATATTGGATGATATGTTAGTTGGGGTCTATTTTGAAAAGCACCAATTCTACAGCATATATTAATCATCTATCTTTCCTATATATTTACTATAAAATATCATTCTGGCTTTTAAACAAGAAGCCAATCATTTTGGCTTCTTGTTATGAAATTCTTACCTGATGACACGGTCTCTCCCAACATTACCTTGCAACGCTTACAAATTACTTTGGTATTTGCCTTTGGTTCCTGTAGAACAGAAAAATGTCATTTAAATGTCATTCAGCTTTTCTTAAAAGGAATATATAATTTTAACATAGTCCCCAGAGTATACATTGAACTTTACATTTTATTCTGCCCTCTACTAAATACTGGGAATACATTTAGTTTGTATGCATAATTCACATGCACAGAGATAATTTTTCAAGTCTTAAGAAACAATAAAGCACAGATTCACTTTTCCAAAACTAGCCACTTCTTGATAATCCAAAAGTTGCCAAATAATTTGAATTAAGTGGTACCTTACATTTCTAAAAAGCACTTGCAAATAGCCTTATAACTTAGAACAGGCAGATGGTGGGCAACAAAGACCGGGTTGATGACTTGCCTCAACTCATGTGTATAGAACACAGAAGAATCAGAACTTGAACTCACACTATTTTGATTCCTAGTCCAGTGTAATTTACGTAAAAGTAACCTATAATCCTTAACTACAATAAGTGAAAAGTTAACAATATATATTCTGTTCATATACTTCCATTTTTTCCACTTAGGATCGGCACGGTAACTGGAAAGACAGGTAGTGCTCTGGGACAATTCCTGAAACAATCCTAACCTTCAAAAATCCAAATTCATTATTTGAGACATAGATTAAAATAACTAGCATTTGCCTAATCAATAAACAAAGAATATGCCTTTTCACATCCATAATTATACCTTTGTTAAAACCATACAACATTCCTCTCGTCCAGATATACGGCAACAAGGCAGAAGCCATATAAAGTGGGCAGGGAAAAGGAGGTTCTGCAGCTCTGAACACACCAGGGTACCTTTCCTGGGAAATTACAGAATAGGTGTAGGCTGAAGTAAGGAAGGGCAGTGACTTCTGTTGTGGGATAATATGTGTATTTAATCTAAGGAAAAAAAATTTAACTGATTAATATACATTTGAGTATTTTTTCCTTGGCATAAATAATTTCCTAAAAAGTTGCATAAAAAGTACATTTAAACTGAGTTCCATGGACGTGCTGCTAGTAACTGACAGTTGATGTTTGAATCTGGGTCTTTCTGATGCTAAGGCTTCTGAACACTATGCTAAGTGTTTTCCAAATTACAGCTCATGCGCTCCATTAGTGGGAACCAATTCATGGAACCAATTCAGTGGATTACTGTGCTTTGGTTTTTTTTTTTGTCTATTTTATTTTGTTTTGTTTTGAGATGGAGTCTTGCTCCGTTGCCCAGGCTGGAGTGCAGTGGTGTGACCTTGGCTAACTGCAATCTCCGCCTCCTGGGTTCAAGAAATTCTCTGCCCCAGCCTCCCTAGTAGCTGGGATTATAGGCACCTGCCACCATGCCTGGCTAATTTTTGTAGTTTTAGTAGAGATGGTTTCACCATCTTGGCCAGGCTGGTCTTGAACTCCCGAGCTCATGATCCACCCACCTTGGCCTTCCAAAATGCTGGGATTATAGGTATGAGTCATCGCACCAGGTCTACTGTGTTTTTAAAAAATGAAATACAATAGAACAGAAAATATGACAGTGCTTCAAACACTGAGTAAGTACTGCTTCAAGAAACTTTTATTTGAGGTGTTTGTGTGTGTGTGTGCATGAGCGTGTGTGTGTGTGTTATCAGATCTTGATGTAAAAAAATACATTCACTGGCTGGGCGCAGTGGCTCATGCCTGTAATCCCAGCACTTTGGGAAGCTAAGGTAGGTAGATCATGAGGTCAGGAGTTTGAGACCATCCTGACCAAAGTGGTGAAAACCCCGTCTCTACTAAAAATATAAAAATTAGCTGGGTATGGTGGCGCGCACCTGTAATCCCAGCTACTCAGGAGGCTGAGGCAGGAGAATCACAGGAACCTGGGAGGGGAAGGTTTCAGTGAGCCGAGATTGTGCCACTGCACTCCAGCCTGGGCAACAGAGCAAGACTCTGTCTATACACACACACACACACATACACACACACACACACATATATATACACACACACACACACACATATATATATTCAATTAGAGGTCAAAGTCAAGAGCAACAGCACAATTCATATTGGGGTCTTCCTCTATGGCCTATTCTTTCCCCCAGCCTCAAACACATGCAACTAGTAAAAAATCCATAAATGCCCACAGCTCTTCTATTTAGAAACTTTTGAGATGAATCCCTTCCTACACTGAATTAACCTTCAGTAACATAAACACTTATTCCATTTTCCCTGGTCTAGCGGCAGTATTTGGACAGATTCTGCAGCCTTTCTCAAAAGTCTCTGCCGAGGAAACAAAAGCACAGGTGAACTTCGTAAGTCAGTTCAGTCCTGGCTGAAACTTTGATCCAGGCACACTCCCAAAGTGGGCCCCACAGTGTGTCATCTCTGGCCATTGCATGACATCCTTATCAGGCACATCACAAATGGCAGGTCTCAGAGCCTGACCCAGGTGGGAAACTGGATGGGGTCATTCCCATGAGAGGTAAGAGACAGACACAGAAACCTAGGAAGGTGCCAATTTATTCAGGTCCAGTTAGAAGAGAACTCAGCCAGCATGGTCTACAAAGGGTGCCATTCTGGCAGTTTAATGCTTTCTTACAGTAAGACATACACCCGTATGGCTCCAAGTTGATATTAAAAATATTTTTTAAAGAGTACTATTTTGTACAAGTTAAATCTGATCATACTCATTAAATGTTACCAAAAACTAAGGGCTTTACTAAAAACTAATATTGGTATTGTAATAGCAAGGCTTGAGAATAAAGAATTTTTTTATTTGAAGCAGAAATTTTTTTTTCAAGTGCTCTGATATGTACTTCATTCGTAACGGCTATCACAGAACATCTCACCTTGTCTTTCAAGGGGGCAGGAGAAGTATTTTTTGTTTGCTTGTTTTTAAAATAAGATTCTACCCTTATCAGACATAGGTAATCAGGATTTAAAAATCAGATCAACAACAACCAAATTATCTCAATCACATGTGTGGATCTGGATTCAAACAAACCTATAGTAAAAGATACTTTTTTTTTTTTTTTTTTTGAGAGGGAGTCTCGCTCTGCCGCCCAGGCTGGAGTGTAGTGGCCGGATCTCAGATCACTGCAAGCTCCGCCTCCCGGGTTTACGCCATTCTCCTGCCTCAGCCTCCCTAGTAGCTGGGACTACAGGCGCCCGCCACCTTGCCCGGCTAGTTTTTTTTTTTTTTTGTATTTTTAGTAGAGATGGGGTTTCACCGCGTTAGCCAGGATGGTCTCCATCTCCTGACCTCATGATCCGCCCGTCTCGGCCTCCCAAAGTGCTGGGATTACATGAGCCACCGCGCCCGGCCACTAAAAGATACTTTTAAGACAATTGATAAAATCTGTATATGGCCTGGCATTGTATCATTAAGGAATAATTGTTAATTTTATCAGGTGTGATGACAGTGTGGCTACATTTTTAAAATCCCTAATTTTACACATAGGGATAAAATGACAAGACTGTTTTAAAGCACTTCAGGAAAAAAAAGAGCAGATGAAGCATACTAGTATGATGAATCCATATTGAAATTCACAATACTATTCTTTTTATAATTGTGAATACTTACAGAGTTTGACAACACATTTTTCTAAGAAAACAAAAAAGACCCACTTATGGATTTAACAAAACAAATTACCAAAATCAACTAATTATTACTAAGTACTCCAAGAAAGAAAAAAAGATAAAGATGTTAGTCATCCTTGCTAGCAGTAATATTAATGTAATCAAAGATCAATTTTATTTGTTCTTGGCCGGGCGCGGTGGCTCAAGCCTGTAATCCCAGCACTTTGGGAGGCCGAGGCGGGCGGATCACAAGGTCAGGAGATCGAGACCACAGTGAAACCCCGTCTCTACTAAAAATACAAAAAATTAGCCGGGCGCGGTGGTGGGCGCCTGTAGTCCCAGCTACTCAGGAGGCTGAGGCAGGAGAATGGCGGGAACCTGGGAGGCGGAGCTTGCAGTGAGCCGAGATCGCGCCACTGCACTCCAGCCTGGGCAACAGCGTGAGACTCCGTCTCAAAAAAAAAAAAAAAAAAAAAAAAAAAAAAAAATTTATTTGTTCTTTAAAAAATACAGTGAAGTCTTGAATAATATTTTGAATCTTATAAAAGGAAGAAATGCCATCTTTATCATCCCATTATTATAAGATACAATTTTTTTTTTTTTTTGAGATGGTGTCTCGCTCTGTCACCAGGCTGGAGTGCAGCGGTGTAATCTTGGCTCACTGCAACCTCTGCCTCTTGGGTTCAAGAGATTCTCCTGCCTCAGTCTCCTGAGTAGCTGGGACTACAGGCCCCCGCCACCATGCCTCGCTAATTTTTTTGTAGTTTAGTAGAGATGGGGTTTTACCATGTTGGCCAGGATGGTCTCGATCTCCTGACCTTGTGATCCACCCGCCTCAGCCTCGCAAAGTGCTGGGATTACAGGCATGAGCTACCATGCCCGGCCCAAGATGCGAAATTTGTATTATGTGGGTGGGCACAAAATAGAACAAGAGAGATGATAAATGAATACATGAATAGGGAAATCTCCAGCAGGTATCTTTTTTAAAAAAAGTAGATACTGCTGCAATGACAAAGGCTCAAATAAAGTACTATAAACTCTAAAAAGCTATGGAAGAAAAGAAACAGTGTTGGGCTTCACGTTTGTTTGTGCTGTTTTTAAAAGCAGATCTTTTTAATTAAACATATAACACATAAATTTTGTTTAAAGAGAATCTCTGTTTGTAATGCATTTTTCTCCACCTATCCTTGAAGGAAATAATAAGGCAAGTTGTGTAATGAAGCAGCCTAACAGTGTGGGAACTCTACAGAGCAAACCTCAAAGACAGACATTGTTGTGGACTAATTAAGTCAATATATCTGACACAGGGCAGGACTGCTCAGAGAGGTGGATTAGCCTTGTGTCCTCCCTTTTAGTTTCCCTTTGTGTTGTCTCAATTTCTAAGGACCCTTGATATTGTCTCACCAAAAAAATGTTTCCCAAGAGATACCATTAGGATGCTTTGTTACTATGTGGCATTTCAAAACCCTGCTAGATGGCTAGACTGGGTGATAGGAGAAATAGGTTTTCAATTGCACAGAACAGCCTTGTTCCCACAGGAGCCTTGAGAGCACTGTTTACCCAGTCCCTCCAAATTTACCCTTCTATTTTGGTCACAGGCACACTCTTTGGACTGCTACAATATACAATTAAAGAGGGACTTTCATCTAGGCTAACTTGAAGAAAATATTTTCAACAGCAGCTTGTCATGATAGTACAGAATTTCCCACAGTCTCCTTGATACTAAAACTGTAATGTCTAAAAATACGATGGGTCTTTCTTTAATGGATAAGATAGCTGTTTACTATGAAGAGAAATTCTTGTAAATTGCATCACATAACTGATAAAGATGTAAATGTGAAGAATATATTTCAGCACAGAGTGCTGAGTTTATTTAAAAAGGGAAACATGGCTTCTCTCATTTAATCTTTCTCTACTACTTTTCTGCTCACAACTTCCAAATATTTCTAAAATGTATAGCTTAATCATAAAGATGAAATTTAAAACACATAAAGTATTAGTATATATTTAGATTAAAATACAAATTTAATTAATCATATTAAATATAACATAAATGTATATTAACTTACTATTTACCTTTTAAAATATAAAATGTAAAGTACCACATTTCACCAAAGTGAACCATATTTAGATTAAGGGATTTCTGTTTACAGTGTAAGATGAGGCACTTAAATAATTTTCTTTGACAACAACTTAACGTCCACATTCGACGAATTTCCTTCGTCTCCCTCAGAATAGTTCTATAAACTAATTTACAACCTAAGAGCTGACCATCTACTGCATATTTCCTGCAGTCGCTCAGTTTCAGTTCTGATTACAAAAATTAAATGAGTTCTGAATGAAATTTAAAATACAATGTTTTCGTTCCCACCAATAATCAGATGTTAAAATGCTTCTCTGGCAATGATTTTCTTTACTTTTTAAATAACATCTGTACTGACTGGCCATCAGTGGAATGATTTCTCACAGGGCTAAGCCAATGCCATTGATTTTCTTTTAAAATAAAGTAAAACATGTGTTCTCTGCAGTGAGAGAAAATTGCCTTCTTCCCAAAGTAACCTACGCAGCAAGAACCACCTGACCTCACACTGTCAAGCACCAATGCAGACCCTGCAACACAAGCTTTATCTCCATTTCTGGGCTCCTCCATTCCTCTTTTTACTTGATGACATCTGCATTTATGACTTCAGCAGAAGTCTAGACTGTGGGCAGAAATAGTAAAATACCTCAGCCTAATAGTATAGTAGATATCCTGGAGCAACAGAATACTTTTAACTTAAATCAGACTACTTAGGATAAAATGCACACAAATTATGCAATATTGTCCTAAGAACAAGAAAGGAGGGCATTTTGTTTGTAAAATGGTAGCACTCCCAATTCTATGACTGCAGAGGTCTTCCTCTCCTTATTCTTCCAGGTCCCTGTGGCTGTTTTAGTTTAAAGCCATATGCTCTTCCTGTTTTGATAAAGCAGAGATAGTGATGACAGTTGAAAATAATGAATTTTGGCCTTTACAGCAGTCCATATAACAAGGCCTTAATTAGGAAAAGATTGAAGAAACCAGTATCTAAGACAACCTCTAAATTAGCATTTAGTTTGAAATGATATTTTACCAATTTACAATGGTTGTCAGAAGAAACACAGCACATCTCCACTGGGGATAGTTCAGGTCTTGGCTGCCACAAACTGGTTCTTAAATTCACCAAGAAGAAAGAGTCTCCAATAAAACAGTCATTCTCTTGCGGATGAAGTGGTTTATTAGCAAAGGGGTCAGGATGACAACACCATTCTCCAACTAGAGCTTCCCAGTTCTCACTCGGCAGTGGGAGCACCCTGAGGAGCTTCCTAGTGGAAAGAGGAAAAATCATTTTTAACAGAACAAAATGGAACTAACATTCTCTTAATTAAATGAGCATAAAAGATGAAAGAAACTCATTAACCACAAGGCTTGCAATGCTAATTTTTCCTCAATTATAAAAGTAATATATACTCACTATAACTAATTTTGAAAATGCAAGGAGGTATAAACAAGGAAAAATCATCCTTTTATCTCACTACCCAGATATAAGTAACTAAACATGACAGTGTATTTCTTTGCCATCCGTTCAAAAGATGTATCTGTACATATTACAAAGTTTGAGAATGGTGACTAAACATACTATATCTTGCTTTTGTTGTTTTATTTAGATGAATCCTAATTAGTCCACAATATTCTATTCCATAATCAAAACTTTTGAGATCATTCCCTCAACCGTTAGATATTTAGATTTTGAGTTTTTCATTATCAATAACTCTGTGATGAATGTTCCTGTTAGAATATTTATGAACATATCTATTTTCCTTGAAAAGAATCTTATATAAGTGTGAGATGATAAGCACAAATTGTATGCATATTTTAAAACCCAACACCTATTTGGTGAATTTCTTTCCAGAAAGGCTGTGCCAATCTATAATTCTTCCACTCACCCTTTTCATAAATGAATACTATCATTTTTTCATTTCTGCATTAGTAATAGGTGAAAGTATTTTCAATGCTGCTTTAATTGGCAACTCTTAAATTACTGGAGAGATTCATCTAGTTTTTCCACTTATAGACCACTGTGTTTCTTCTGTGAATTGTGATTAGTGACTATTTTCCAGGGTCCGTATTACTATGTTCTTATTAATTTGTAAAAATGTGTTATATATTAAGATTACTAGCCTTATGTTTATTAACCTGTTACAAATTTTTTTGGTGTTACTGCCTTTTATTTTGGTTTACATGTCTTAACTGTCAAATCACCTAACAACTTTCTTCTATAATTTCTATTACCATATTTTAATAAACTTTTCATTTTGGAATACTTTCAGATTTACAGAAAACTTACAAAGGTAATATATTAGTTCCCATATACACTTCACCCAACTGGCCTTAAAGTTACTATTTTATGATACCATGGTAGATTTGTCAAAACTACACACTTTGAATTTCACCTGTTTTTCCACTAATATCCTCTTTTTCTGTTCCAAGATCTAATTCATGATAATACTTTGCATTTAGTCATCATGTCTCCCTAGTCTCGTCTGGTCTGTAACAGTTTCTCAATATTTCCTTATTTTTCAGAAACTTGAGATTTTTGAAAAGATCAGGTATTTTACAGAATATTCTTCAATCTGAGTTTGTCTAATATCGTCTCAAGATTAGGCTGGTGGTATGGATTTGGGGAAAGAATCTCACAGAAGTGAAACGTACCCTTCTCATCACATCATATCAGAGAGTATATCACATCAACACAACTTAGTGATGCTAATCTTGATAACCTGGTTAAGGTGATATCTGCTAAGTTCCTCCTCCTAACAAAACACAAACACTAGTAAATTAATGTACATTCAGATGTTATAAGTTAAAAATATTTAAGATGTGAATGCTACTTTTTTTTTAAACAATTCCCCCTATTTTCCTTTGATTTCCCCAATCAACTGAGTCACATAAAAGGGCAATTACAATTCAGAAGAGGGTACACAATCTATAACTGCAGAGGACAAAGCTAGAAACAAGAAAGGCTGATTTTAGTTTAACATAGGGAAGAACTTTTCCTTTGAAATTAGTATACACTGCACCACTGGTATCATCAAGGTGCTGAGCCTGTTAAACATACTGAGAAGTGATTCTTTCAACATACACTTCCTATTAAGTCTACCATGAATAAGGCATTCTACTGGCACAAAATATGAACACATACAGTCATCTCCCTTAAGGTACTCATGTGCTAGTAAGAAATATGGACCTATAAACAAATAACAAAAGCACATGTTATAAATGCTCGTAACAGAGTAATGGTTCTAAACTCTTGCAGTGGGTGGGGGAGTGTGTGGCGCCAGGGGGAGCAGTACAGATCCCTTTGAATATTTAAGAAAAGTGTTAGCCTCTTTCCTCAAACATACATTTCTACAAGCACACAAAATCTGCATATTAATTTAGGGGATTCATGGATCCCCAAGACCAATCTATGAATTCAGGGCAATATATACAAAGTACTATGGGAATAGACTGTACATAGACTTCAGAGAAGAGGTAATATCTGAGCTGGCCTTTGAAGGATAAATAGTAGTTCTCCAGGCAATGAAAGGAATTAAGGGCATCATGGAAGAAACAATATGAAGGTAGATGCCATATATGTTTACTTTGCCACTGTATTTCTGCTGTCTTACATTGCTTCTAACATATAGCATGAGCTCTTAAATATTTGTTGAAGAAATGAACTAGTGTATTTTGATAACTAAAATGTGTGAAGCATTTCACACTGGTTGTATCTGTTGCACACTGGAATTCAGGAGTTAACAAACCTTTTCCCTTGCTGCTTGAGAATCTGACCTTTGGTTTAGCCACCTAGCTCTGTTACCCTGGAAACCAGGTAAGATCTTAGGCATCGACTATATTGCTAGGCAACACTGCTTACGGTAAAAATGATCCTTGGTTGGTAAACTGCATCTGAACCAGGAAGAAATATGAATGAGCTGTAAATGTCTGATAGGATACTTTGGCCTTCCCTGAATGCAGTCTCTTCTTGGGAACCCTACAAACTATATCAAGAATTGTTACAAGAAATACTGGCTGCTTAAGGCAGAAGGCCTTCTTCTGAGCCACGGCAGCTCCCGTTCCTCCCTGATGTGGAGCTTATGCTTTGTACCTGGAACTACGCCGTGTTGGGAGACGACAGTCCCCAGAAAGGTATGTGAGCTGTCACTTGTGCAAACATGCAGCGCCCCTGCTGAGAGGAATTCTTGATGCTGCCCTGCTGGCAAGCTGGCAAAGAATGTGGACTGTGGTAGCCTTGTGAGTCCACATGTTTAGGTAACTTAAGAAGACCCTTGGTGGGCACTAAACACACCTTATTTCATTTAATGCTCGCAACAACTTTGTGAGACAAGAAATATCATTTTCCTATACAGAGGAGGAAAGTGAGGCTCAGAAATGTTAAGTAATCTGCATAAGTTCACAGAATCAGAGGTGACCAGTAATGGCAGGTTCTTAGTTCAGGTCTTCCTGCCTCCAAAACCAAACTTTTTCCTTAGAATATATTCCCTGCCCTGGCAATGCAGAACAGCCATAGAGGACACTTGGGCAGGTAGGATGGTGGCAAACTGTGTGGGGTGTTCTAGGCCACGCTAAGGGGTAGGGACTTGGTACCTCAGGTGCGTAGGAAGCATTACAGAATTTTAAGCGGAATAACAGGTCAGATTTGAATTTTACCAAGAAGAATCAGAAGAAGAAAAAGGCAAATAAATTGCCTGTTTAGAGTGGGAGGGAGTTAGGCCTAAATAGGCTCCTGGACTTTCTCCATCATTAAGATCTTTTGTCTCCTGACATATTGCATGTAGTGCCAATAAACAAACCCTCAATACAGTGCAAGAGACAACAATGGCAAAATCGCCTACATGATCAGGGAAATAAAATTGCCCCAAGATTTACAGAGATCTGGGAGACAACTCACATTAACACAAAATATGATATTTTAAACTTAGTGTGACTACATTATCATGTGAATAAAAGCTATAATATATCCTATAACCATCTACATAAGACACCATGAGCAAGAAAGTGCCTAATCTGTAAGTCATTGCAAAGATAAAAGAGTTTTTAAAGCAGAAAATTTTTTTGATGTTTTGAAGAAAACATAAAACATTTCAGAACAAAAGATTTTAATCACTGCTTTACTGAAAGCATATTTATCTAAAACCCTGAAAAATAGACTTTGATATGATCTACTTCCCAAGAGAATTTTCAAAATAAAATAGATACCATCTTTTTCAAAGTTAGTTTTTAGGTAGAATCCTGGTGGAGCTCAAAAAAACAGTGAAATGATTTCCTGAATTTTCTCTCAGCTTAAGGTTCTATAATGAACAGCAACACAACTTCACAATAAATTAAAATTTCCTAGTTATTTTTAATGTACCATGACCACAGACTTTTAGGAAACTTAAAATATACAAATGATATCAATGTTTAATACTTAAACATATACACAAGAAGATGTATGCCCCTTAACTTTAATAGAGGTAAAGAAAAATGAAGAATGTGAAAATAAAGAAACATACATAAGAAAATAAAATTATGCTCCTTAGCTTTAAAATGAACCATTAATCAGTGATAAGATAATAACAATGGTAATAACAGCTTTTACAGATTGGATTATAACCAAGTGGACATTAAGAATATTAATAACATCAACTATCTAAAGCTCAAAATATGGCTGCTGGAATTAGATAAATTCAGGTGACATTCTCCGACTGGCAGGCCACAAATCCTATAAAACTAGCTTAGCACTTTAATACTATTACATACATAGTATGATTAGAGCCATAAAAGTATAATTTTATTCCAAAAGTTTGTACAGTGTTACCAATAGTGCAGTTGGTGAATATACTCTTTTTTAACCTCTTTGTAGAAATGTGACTATATTCTTGGGAGTAGTTATTTTCAGGTTACAATTGTTGCTGGTCTGCCAAGTGGCTCAATCAAGTGGTTGGATATCCTGACATCTCATGTTTCCAAAGATCCCATCTTGCTGGTTTCCCTCCAGGGTGTCAATGCCCTCATGAGATCTAGGCTGACACCTAGCACTACCCTGCCAGTGCAGGGAGAACAGGGTGAAACATCCAGAGACCTCAGGAGAGCCACTCTGTTTCAAATCATCCGAAAATCAAAAGGCTTGAGTTTGAAAGTTTGGCCAACTGATTTCATTCATGTATGAGATGAATTTATTTCTAGAATATATAAATTCCAAACACAAGGACTATTTGGCTGTTTCTGAGACTATTCACAACAAAATAAATTTCATTATTGTTGCTGGATATTAGGGCCCGTTAATCTTAACAAGAGCATAATCAAAAATTACATACATTCACACACATTTTACAGAAAAACTGTTAATCTGGTAAAATGTAAATTGGAGAATTTAATTATAAATAAATGAGGCATTATTTGGTTTCGAATAACCACAATCAAATAGCTAAGAACAAGTGACCTTAAAATTAGGCGCTGCTGTAATTAGCAGGTATCATGCGCCCTGGTGCGTAAGTATTTAAAAGCCACTAATGAGTCTTACTGTTTAAACTGTCCTCTACATCTTATTTCTATAATTAAGTTAACAAGAACCTTTTTTATTAAAAAAAAAAAAAAAAAGAATAAGCATTAGTCCCACACTACGAAATAATGATGAATCACAAAGTACATGAAACCGCAAATACAAATGAGGTTCATTGATCAGGGAATTTTTATGTTTCATAGCACTCTAACAGGTTTATCTAATCCAACATCCTCATTTTACAGGTGAGGAAACTGGAGCCCAGGAAATTAATGTAACATGTTCCCAGATAATAAGACTAGCCAGTAAGCAGATCTTAACTCTGTTCCACTGCTCCTATAGAGGTGCTCCCAATACAGATAATCAACATATTCCAAGGTACCTTCCTGGGAAATATGTTTACAATTAGTTGATTTTTGGCACACACATGCTCTTTTGAAAACTTTTGGTCTTGTTTTCTATTTAACGAGCACAAAGTTGTCCTTACCACTCACATAAAACAGATAACTGAGGGAGAAATAAGAACAACACTGGGTTTGACATTAATGGTCAACATGAAATCTATGTGCAGATACTTAAGGAAGCATCTTTATCCATACAACTCAGTCAAAGGGCAAGCTACTTAAGAGTTAAAGGTAAGCAAAGCCTTGAGTCATTTACTAAGGATTTCTCTGCATTACTGAAGAGGCATGCATATGCCAGGCACACAGTTGTGACATGAAAAGGTTTTTGGGTAAGACTTGCTTAAATGAGGCAAAGGCTAAATCAAGTCCACTGTTTCTCAGCGAGAAAAAGAGAAAGGGAATTCATTTCCTTGGCACATGCAGAGTATGCGAATCACAGTCTTGAAACAAAAAGGTTTGAAATACTAAACTAGATAATTTGCTAGTTTGCTAATAAGAACAATTTGGAAAAGAGTGTAGAAATCTGTAAAACCAATTTAAAAGACCTTGTTGAGTATTAACTATTCCATATATTATATCCTTTAACCCTCTTGACAAATTTGGAAAATAGGCCTTATGAGAAGGCTATATTAGAAGAACCTGAGGTAGAACAAACACAACTTCCCAGCTACTAAGTCATGAAGCTGGATTTCAAACCCAGGTCCCATTCTCCTGCTCCTGCCTCCAGGGCCAGACGATGGTCAGGGTTAGGGAGAGTGAGTGCTGCCCTTTTAGTTCTCAGTTCCATCACTGTAAAAGGGACTGACACAGAAGATACAGTTCCTGAACAGAAAAAATGGGGGCAACAGATACAAGATTTTTCATATTCTCATCCTGTTCCAGTGAAAACAAATAACCGCCAATAATGAGCCAGCATATCCTTTACTGCAAGCAGCACCCAGAAATACTGTTACACTGATTTAACATGTTCCAACTGTAACTTCTAGGAATCCCCATTGTTGTCTAGGAATGAATGTTTCAGAAACTTCATCTGAGAATTCAACCAAAGCCTAAAATAGACTAAGAGAAGGAAAACACTCTTGGTTCAACTACAGTGTAAACTGAGATCCCCTGAACCTTTCAGGATAAAGTGGGCCTGTCACCAAGTACATGCAGTAACTTCAACACTTAGGTAATCCAAGCAAAGATGAGGTTCCCTCCTCTGCAAATTTAAAGTCCCCTCATTTCTTACTCAAGACAGTCACTCTGAGGATCTTCCATTTGTAACCTCTCACTTATGCCAGATTAACTCTGTGCCATCTCATCTACCTAGGACACTGCCAGAAATCAGGAAGCAAGCAAGAGAGGTTGGTAGAAGGCCAAAACAAACATGTCAACGTTTATTCAATTCAACCCAGCAAAAATTGATTGAGAGCACACTATTTACGAGGGACAGTGCCTGATGCTGCAGATGGGGATGATGATGATGATAAGAACAGTAATTATCACAGTAGCTAATACATATGGAATGCTTGCCACGTTGCCACGTGCCAGGCACTGTCATAAACACTTAAACTCACTCGATTCTCCTAGCAACCCTATGAGATAGGTCCTACTGTTAGCCACATTTCTGCAATAAAAGAATTGAGGCACATACTGCTTAAGTAACTTGCCCAGAGTCACACAGCTAGTAAATGTCAGGTGCAAACCTAGTTACTCCGGCTTCTGAGTCTGTACTACTAGACAGACTCAGAAGGGTCTACACTGTACTGCACTCTCAAAAGAGTAGGGATAAAGGATACAGGGGACAAGAAGATTATCTGCACTCTGAAAGCCTACAGTTTAGTTGTGAAGACAGGCAAATAAACCTTAGAGGAGCACCTAAACCAACCCAGGGTTGACAGAAGGCTTATAACGGTACCTGTCCTGTCAGCTGAATTCTGAAGTTCAGGTAGGAGCCAACCAGGGGGAGACAGGGTGTGGGGTGCATTCCTCCAGGAAAGGAAGTCACTTTCATAAGGCCCCAGGGTGAAAAAAATCATGAAAAGACTATAGGGCTGCACATTGATCACCAGAGCTGCGTACAGAAAGCCGTCAATAATGGCATGTTTTTTGGGGGAGGAGGAATAGGTTGGGAGAGATATAAAATGTGAGGGTGGAGAGGTAAATAGAGGTAAACTCATAAAGGTCCTAACGTAGCATGTTTCTGGAATTTATACTGGAGAAATGGGGGGTCATGGAGGGACCAGTAGAGCCTGATGCATTTGAGAACAATTACTTAGTTGTGCTAAAATAGGTCAGACGAGAGGACAAAACTACAGGGAGGCTCAGTGGATGAGGAGCTGGTGTAACAAGTGTAATTAGGTGAGAAGATAGTGGCCTCAACTAAGGTAGAGGCACTGGGGTGGAGGAAAGTGGACTTATGTTAGACATGCTATGAAAAAAGTAACAAAAGAACTTAGCAACTGACCATTTATGGGGGGAGCCCCTTAGAGCAAGCTGATCCATGTTACAGCATATGGCCCAAAGGTTTTGAATGTGGCCCAACACAAATACATAAACTTTCTTAAGACATGAGATTTTTTTGGCAATTTTTTTAAAGCTCATCAGCTATTGTTATTGTTAGTGTATTTTATGCGTAGCCCAAGACAGTTCTTCATCTTCCAGTATAGTTCGGGGAATCTGAAAGCTTGGACTCCTCTGCCTCCAGAGGGAGGAACTTCTGTCTACACCAGGTTTCTACCTTGAGGACACAGGCAGAAGTACAGCATTACTGAGATAAGGAACACTGGAAGAGAAGCAGGTTTCAGATGGGAAGGATCCACTTACTTATAAGTCTTAGGAACCTGGCTCAGGAAACCCATCTAATAAAGAACTCTAAATTCTTTAAATATTATTAACAATAATTAGGATTTAATCTGTCTCCCCAGCCTATGAATGACTTGTGGCTGAAGTTTTAGGGGGAAGGGTTTGTGCCCAAGAAACAAGAAGGCTGACATGAGGAAGAAAGAAGACAAACAAAGAAAAAAAAAAGAAATTAAAAAGCCTTTGGGACTGCAAAAAAACCCGCCAAAAACAACAACAACAACAACAACAAAAACCAGCAAAGAGTCCTTCCCATCTCAACAGGGCAATCGCAGCACATGGCAAGAATAAATAATAAAATTAACCTAATCATTGAGAAAAGGTTAATTTGTGCTCTGTATGCTCTGTTTTAATAAGCAGGAGAAATAGGAAATGGATTTTAGAAAGGCACTGATAAAAATAGTTCAAATAAAAAGTTTTTGTGCAAAAGCTTCTGTTATGTGGAAAAAATTACTGAAATGTGGAAAATGTCACTCAGCATCGTGTTGGATGAAACATGTGACAGGTCCCATGTTTCTTTTCAGGAGGGAGGTGCTTCAGTGATCAGCACAGGTTTTCAGCCGAGATAAGCTCTCCTCTCTCAAAGCCAGCATCCTAGTGCTCCCCTTTATGTCCCTAAGAGCTAATCACTCTGATTGCTAGCAAGTTTTGTGGCTGATTTTGTTCCAAGTGACATTAAGCTGGCTCTCACTTTAAGGCCATATACTACCCAATTGGCAATTTCTTGAAAAATTCTGATAGAAAGAGAGATAACCATTGCCAGGCATGGAATTAATCAGTGTTAAATATATTCCTTACCTGTCTTTTATTATGACTTCACCACAGGATTGGCAATAAAATGTGCAACATTCTTGGGCTTGCGAGCTTTGATTAAACATTGAAATCAGTTCTAAAGGAAGTCAATGAAATAGCTAATCTTAGAGATTGAAACAAATATATTATCATACTTAAACAGTTCAATAGCCACAATAAATTACCATCCATAAGCAGTTTATGATCCACCCAGAAGTACACATTTAATTAATACTATCTGATGACTCAAGCAGAAGCAAATATTGTGAAGTGTTTTTGAAAACAACAGATTTTGATAAGTGTTCCAGAGCTAGGTGCTCCCCTAGATTACGCATGTAGCATTTGTTAGTTCTCTCATTCTATAAATACCAACATTAAGGATGAGTGAAAAAGAACTATTTCCTTCTCATCAAGCTAACTACATAGCTCTCCAACATTCTCAGCTTTCCTCTGCTATGTCTCACAATAGTGTTTCATTGGTGTGAACAAATAGAGCTCTTAAATTTGAGTTTCATTTTTTGTTGTTGTTGTTGAGGCAGAGTCTTGCTCTGTCACCCAAGCTGAAGTGCAGTGGCATGCTCTTGGCTCACTGCAGTCTCCGCCTCCTGGGTTCAAGCAATTCTCTGCCTCAGCCTCTTGAGTAGTTGGGATTACAGGTGCCCGACACCACGCCCGGCTAATTTTTCTATTTTCAGTAGAGACGGGGTTTCACCATCTTGGCCAGTCTGATCTTGAATTCCTGACCTCGTAATCCACCTGCCTTGGCCTCCCAAAGTGCTGGGATTACAGGCGTGAGTCACCATGCCCAGCCAAATTTGAGTTTAATTTTATTTAAACTAGGTTTATATCCAATCTAGCATATTACCAAATGAACAAAGATCTCAAACTAATGTTTATTGGACACCTCCCTGGGAATGGAATGGCTCCAAAAAGAGTCCAGTTATTCCAGAGCAAAAGTCAATGTCTAATGAAAGCTATGGTAAAACATTGAAAGCTGTGGGGAAAAATGTATATTTCTCACACTATGGTAAGAGAAGCATAAGGCAGCATGTTCCCTTAGTTTCCATTATTTCTTTTATGAAATAAGGAAACTTTCATTTAAAAGAAACAACTAAAATATGTCTGTAAAAATCTAATTAAATGAATGAGCTCATATCCATCAGAATCAAGCAATGTGGATCTGGTTTGTGTTTTTCTGTATATAAGATTAAAAAAACTGATGCTAGAAGGTTTATGCCTTGGCAATTAAAAATCTTCACAGTTTTTAAGGGGTGGTCAGAAATCCCTATAGCACTAAGGTGAAATTAACAGTATTATTCTTTAACTTTGAGTAGATTATAAAGGAGACCTAGGAATCCAAAATATTCTTTCCAGACCCACAAACAAATTTTCAGTGAAACACTACCCTCTGCTGGTCACCCAGCATGATGCACTGGGTCGGGTTTAAAACTCAGAACTTCTGATATAGAGGAATCCTGGGAGAGTGTTGCTGCCGGGGATCAATCTAATGCGCGCGTGCTGTAATAGATCCTACTGTAGCTAGTTCCACATTGAGGGTCACCGTTTGACACTCAAAATAGCAGTATACCAGTATGATGTTTGCTATAGTTGTCCTTAAAAGGGTGTTCTTAGCATTGAAAAGTCATCTTTTTAAAAACCCTGAAACACAAACTGAATGCTAAAACTTTCAAGTCACTTCCTACAAAACAGTTTGATTCAAGTTCACACCAGTACACATCTATTCATATTTATTCATTCCGCAAATATTTATACACCATCTATTATATGGAAAGCACTCAGGCAATTAAGTGCTGAGGAATCTGTTTTGCATACTCTTTCACGCACTACGGAACAGGCCTTTGGTAGTTTTCCTTTTCAGACATTTGAGTAAAATATATTAAAAGTGTAAAGAAATAGGAGACCAATGAACACAAAAAATATGGAAATCAGCACATAGCAATCAATTTATTTTGTCCTATAGTTTAAACAATGTTTCTGGATTTAAATTTTTAAAAACAATTCCGGTTTTGATATTTGTATATTCAGTTACAGAATACAGAATATGGATGGGCAAAAACCCAATACTATGTCCCTGGTGGTCTCTATTCCTCCATCTCTAACATCACAGCCCCAGAAAACACTCCACTGTGGCTTTCATGCTTGCCTTTCGCAAATCTCAGGATCCAACACAAAATTCCTGCTGTGGTTACTCTTGTAAAAGAGGTAACTGTTGTGAAGGAGAAGGTGATGACAACACAACATCCAGCCTCATGGCCTCCTCCCTGAAACACTTTCTCTGCCCATTATTCGGTGCACTCAGGGAGTCTACTTCCCAGCTTGGTGACCCTAACCTTCTTGCTATGGTTATTCCAACAGTCATTCCTAGTATTCATCCTATAATATTTAAATGCCATGACATCCATCTCTTTTCCCTACCCCTTGTTCCTAAAACCAACCCTGTCCAACTCAAACCAGTTATTCACTAACCCAGGACTTGAGCAAACATTGTTCTCCAGCAAAAAAGAAATGAAACCCTCTCTATCTTCTCTTTCCTCACAAAAGCCCACAATAGAGACTCAGGGGAATACTCAACATCTTCTAAATGGCTCTTCCAAACACTCCTGCTGACCCCATCTCCAGGATCCACACTGCTCAGATAAAAGGTTTATTACAGATGAGGCAGCAGTGAAGTGTCAGTGTGCAGCTGAAAGAATTACAATCTTTCTCTGATAATGAACATCATATAAGTCTTTTACAGCCTGTTTCCCCCTTTAACATAATTTTAATCCCCCAAAGCATATAGTACATCTATTGTAATAGATGTAATGAGCCAATAATTTTATTCAATAAATAACCCCGAAGTCTTAGAAAAAGCAAATTTTCTACTGCCTTACCGAATCGTTATACCAGTTACAAAATGTTGTAAATATAACAGGCATAGTAAAAATCAAAATCAAATTAAGTATCAAACTCAACTGCACGATCCTTTGTGTACTGTTTTCTCTATTTGGAACTGTCACCACATGGATAGGATTTCCTTATTCAGGATTCAGGTCAACCATCACCTCCTCACAGTGGTCTTCACTGATCATCCTTTAGCCAACCCTAGTCACTCCCTATCCCATTATTCTGTTTTATATTATCATAACACTTTTCTTAATATTTAAATTGTTTGCTCATTATCTGCTCCCACCAATTAGAATGTAAGCTCCATGAGAGCAGACACCTCCCCTACCTTGTTCAATTCTGTATCCCCAGCACCTAGATTGATGCCTAGCACATAGCACAAACCAAAATATTTGCTGAATGAATAAATTTCCATGTAATGCTTTAAAATCAGTCAGGTCTTATACACTTGCCATCTGATTTAATCTTCCCATCTGTGAGCCAGAAAATTTTACAATTAAAGAAACAAGGCAGTGGGTAAATGGGAAATCTCTACACCTTCTGCTCAATTTTGCTGTGGGTGGAAAAGAAAGAAGGGAGGGAGGGAGGAAGCCTCATAAAGGTTAAGTAACATGTTCAATTGCATACAGCCAATAACTGGCAAGGCTGACAAAGACCTTACAGCTTCTCAACCCCTTCACCTGGGAAAAGTTCAAGTTATCAAAGGAAAAATCACCTTGGTTCATAACTAAAAGGTAAATACAGAAGCAGAAGTGCTAATATTACTCACTTGTGCCTAATTCTGCTTGCGCCTGCAGCCGCAGGTGCAGTCCATCTCCAGTAACAAACTGTAGCCCACGGCAAGAGGAAGGTACAAGCCTGACCTCTGCTGGAAGCTGGATTTCTGTGCAGCCTTCAGGGGTTTTCATCTGGAGTGAAGATGGCATTATGGAAATATCCATGGGCATACCTCCCTCTTTCGGTTCTCTGGTAATTAAAAACAAAACCCAAACAAATTATTTCTCATAATGAAAACCACATGATGAAAGAAACAAATATGGCCAAGGATCTCTTTGTTCCTCTTCAATAGAGGCTCTAAAGTCACTGCCCCAGAAAAACAGCAGCAAGCAGATCATAAATGAAAGCAACCTACACTAGATTTAGATCTGGTCAGAGAGTGCCCTTCATTGTCACCGTAATATGCAAGTTCTGGGACAGACTTTTGGTTCTTCCTTCTGAGAAGAGCACTAAAATAACGTTTTATAGTAAATCAGAGCAAAGTACTGTTATTTCATATACAAGATTTTAATAAAGAGACCAAGATTCGGTGAAACAAAGATACAAGAGAAAAATTTGTCAATTTTAAGAAAAGGAATTAATGAAGAAAACAATATAGTAATGTATGAATATCAGGTGTGAAAGGACTTACTAATACAATTCACAGTAAACAAAAATTACTCAGTATAGGCAATAAAGAGTAAAACACAGTCCCTATCAAAAGCCCCCAGATGTCAAATGTATAGAGGGGACAAAGGCATGTATGGAAATGACCCTCCTCTGAAACTGCAATAGGCTTAGCATTGCAACAGAGGTACAAAGTACCATGGCTCCTTATTAAGTGCAGACAGCAGGCCATCCACATGGTGTCAACTAAGTGCAGAGAGCAAGTCATTTGCTTGAGTGTCATCTGAGTACACGGGGCAGACGATGTGTTCAGGTGTGAATCTTGGTGAGGCCTCAGAAATCTGCCTTAGAAAATCTTACAACTACTTTCTGGCTAGTTCCTTTTCAAAGCATATGGATCTGCACTTAATTAGCAATACAGAATATTAAGCACCTGAGTTTTTTGAAGGGACAACAGCTTCAAACCCGAGTCAAAAGTCCAATTTCAAGCAATGGTGTTTAGGCAATAATGATCCTCTAAAACAAGCGTCAGCAACTTTTTTTCTGTGAAAGACCAGATAGTAAATATTTTAGGCTTTATGAGCCATGTATGGTCTCAAAGTAGAATACATATTCTAATTTTTATTTTTTAAAAAACAACCCTTAAAAATGCAAAATCAGCAGGTTGAGGTGGCTCACTCCTCTAATCCTAGCACTTTGGGAGGCCAAGGTGGGAGGATGGTTTGAGCCATAAGTTTCAGACCAGCCTGGGCAACATAGCAAGACTCTGGCTCTACAAAAAAAATTTAAAAATTAGCTGGGTATAGTGGCACACACCTGCAGTCCTAGCCACTCAGGAGGCTGAGATGGGGAGGATCACCTGAGCCCAGGAGACTGCAGTGAGCCATGATCATGCCACTGCATGCCAGCCTGGGCAACAGATCAAGAACCTGTCTAAAAGTAAAAAAGATAAAGAAGAAAAATCCAAATCTTAGCTCACAGGCTGCACCAAAACAGGCTGCAGGTAGGATTTGGCCAATGGGCCATAGTTCTCTGACCACTGCTCTAAAAATAACAATGTCCGTTTGCTGCCTCAATGACTTTCAAACTAGACTGTGTAGAGTTGACACTTCCAAGTGCCGCAAGGGTTACCACTGGGTTCCTAAGTATCCATTGCCACCCTATCTCTGGTTTATCACATTTCTTCCCAGTCCCAAAAACTTTAGTCATTTTATAGGGCCAAGCAAGGGAGGCATCAGTGCAAGGGTGGTGACACAGTGGCCCAGCATGGATATGAGAAACCAAGCAGGCTGTGGAGGGCATCCACCAGGAGCACCACTCAGCAGGGGTGTCAGATCCCAAGACAGGTGAGGAGGAAATCTGAACAGGAGGTGAGGCCAGCTCAGGATGGGGTTTCAGAGCCTGTCTTAGCTCAGCTGCTATAACAAAATACCATAGATGGGTGGCTTAAACAACAGACATGGCAGACAAAGGAAGTTCGGTGCCTCTTCCTCTCCATATAAGGACACTAATCTCATCAGAGGGGCCCCACCCTCAAGACCTCATCTAAATCTAACTACCTCCCAAAGCCCCATCTCCTAACACCATCATTTTGGGGGTTAGGGCTTCAATAAGTACATTTTGAGGGGATACAAACATTCAGTCCATAACAGGGTCCAAGCAGGTGAGGAGAGCGTCAACAATGAGCAGGGGGAGGTGGCAAAGGATGCCAGCGGACTATTAATTACATAGAGGGAACTGACCAAATAAACAAATGCCACTGGGACAATGAGGGCCATGATTCTTACTGAGGGAGAATGGAGTTACAAAAAGAGAAAGGGAGGAAACTAGAATGGCCCTTATGGTGGTGGGGCAGAATACCTGTAGAAATACCTGTGTGAAGTCATGGTTTTCAATGTTTACAAATAGATACAGTAATATAGATAGCTGTAAATGCAGGTATGTACATATGTATGTAGGCACAACCATACATAAACATCATATATAAGTTATATACACATACCCTAGTTCTGGGAGAAGCAACACTCAATAGTGATGAGTACACCTCGTGCCCAGATCTTGGTTTGTAAAGGCCATTTTCTGCTTTAAAAAATGAAACGAACAAACCAAAAACAAAGTTCCTTGGTAAAATGACTACATCCAGCGCTGTAACAGGGAAAGAATGAAATAAGCCTGGAACATGTTGCTAGAACATGAAGAAATCAAAGAATGACAGGGACATATCAAAAAAGATGCAGAAACCATTCAGAAAGGACTTCCTTGGCCATGTCTGGTATAATATGAGCAAAAGAGTAGCCCATTGAATAAAATAAAAAATAAAACCCACTGAGTAACCCACAGTAAGAATCATGTGTCCTTACCGATACACATAATTGAATAAAATGAAACTCTAATGAGGAACACGGTATTTACATAATTTCAGAATACCCTCCAATTATTGATTATGAAGAGAAAAAGAGTAACTTTAAGGTAGAGAAGCCTGGCAGACACTCTTACTTAAGTGCTCAAAGTTAACATAACCAATTTGATGGAACAAAGCAAAATCATGTGCCACCTAACAGGAAGCATCACTTCTGTTATATTCCTGCCAAAGATGCAAAATCTGAATCTTGTCTTGAAGAAACATAAGACAAATCCAAATGGAAGGATATTCTACAAAATGATTGTACTGTCATCTTGCAAAGTGTCAGGACCATGAAAGTCAATGGAAAATGAGGAACTCTTTTAGATTTAAACAGACAGAGGAAGCACGACAGTGAAATGCAATGCATTATTCTGAACTGGATTCTTCTGATTTTAGGGATATTATGTAGGCAACCGGCAAAACATGAATGATGTAAGATGGTAGCAACATATTTCCCAATTGTGAGGGTTGGATGATGGTTCTTTAGGAGAATGTCCTACTTTAAGACTAAGTTTGATTGACATAATTCATACAATACTTTCATACTCGAGGCTTTCTTCACCATTGACTTGTATTCTGTCAGGTATCACACCTGCTTAAAACTATCCAATGACTTCATCTCTCACTCTAACTACAAGCTAAAGTCCTTTCGATGGTTCCTAAGTCACAGTGGTATAGTAGGCCCTGCTGCTACAAGCTTTGGAGAACCTGTTGTTAAAATCCTTGGAGTTCTGCAAAGCAGGTCAACTCACCTCACCAAGTTGGTAGGCTGAAGGTCATACATGGTGAAAGTATTCACACCAAAGAAATCAACAAATGCTTCAGATCAAGACCTCAGTTTGTCTTTTTGTTTATTTTCATGGAGAGTAGGTTATTAAACTTCATGGAGAGTAGGTTATTAAACATGTACCAGCACAATGCCATAAGATTTTTATTATGTGTTCTCCCACCTCATCCGCATCTCTCTGAACTAGGCACCCTTTCATACTCACTTTCTCTCAAAGGGAAATTGTCTCCTACCAGGTATGTCAGTTCTACACCTCACCGCTTACAGTTTAATACTCAAATGTTACTTTCTCGTTTGAAATAAAACATTGTAACTTTTTTCTCCCCATCCCTTTTTTGTTTAATTTTTTCTCCACTTCTATTAAATATATATATATTTTGTATATTCTCTGCCAACTCTTCCCTACTGCCACCATTAGACTGTAAGCTCAACAAAGGCAAGTGTTTTTGTCTTTGTTGTTGTTACTGTTCATGGCTATATTCTCAGCACTTAGAATTTGAATTTTTGGCACTAGAGTAAGAACACATTAAACATCTGTGGATTGAATAAATGAATGGCCAAAGTTTATCACAAAATGCTAAGATGGCTTAACATAAGTAGATCTTTACATCTGTGAATGGAAACTGAGGAAACCAGACCCTTTTGAACCCACTAGGGCATGAATTAATCCATTCCTGAGAGAGAACTCACCCACCCATCTCCATGGGAGGGCATTAATCTGTTCAAGAAGGATCTGCCCTCAGGAACCATGCACCTCCCACTAGGCCCCATGTCTCAACACTGCCACATTGGGGATCAACGTGACAAAACATAGGGACAAAACACATCCAAACCATAGTAATTAGGAACAAGAACACCAATATTTACATTAATATAAAAGAGACTAAACATTTTAAGTAAAACGCACAGATCATCAGAACGGATTTAAAATCACCTAACTATATATTTTTTAAAATAGCATATAGTTTTATGCTATTTTTAGAGAAATACAGTATGTTTACAGTTTTTTGCTTTATACAGAAAGACATAAGAAAGGTTAAAAGGGTAGAAAAGACACACTATGCAAACAGTATAAGTCAACTGATTTCTCATGAAGATACTGGGTTATTTTAATGGGAGAAATGATGGCCTTTTCAACTGATGGTGATAGAATAACTGAATATCCTTATACCAAAAAAATGAACTTTGATCCCTACCTCATTGCAAACACAAAAATGAATTCAACATGATCACAGATCAAAATGTAAAAGCTAAAACGATGTAACTCCTAGAAACTAAACCTGCCAAAACATCTTCACAGCCTTAAGGTAGGCAAAGATTTAAGACACCGAAAAAACTAACCCTTAAGTGGAAAAAAAAAAAAAAATGACAGTGGACTTCATTAAAATTTCTGTTTATCAAAGGACACTATAAAAAAAATGAAGCAGGGCATGGTGGCTCACACCTGTAATCACAGCACTTTGGGAATCCAAAGTGGGCGGATCGCTTGAGTCCAGAGTTCACGACCAGCCTGGGCAATATAGTGAAACCCTATCTCTACAAAAAGATACAAAAATTAGCTGGGCATGGTGGCATGCACTTGTATAGCAGCTACTCAAGAGGCTGAGGTGGGAGGATTGCTTGAGCCCAGGAGGCTGAGGCTGCAGTGAGCCATGACCACACCACTGCACTGCATCCTGGGCAGTAGAGCGAGATCCTGTCTCAAAAAAAAAATACAGAAAAGAAAATGAAAAGGTAAGTCACAGATAAGAACAGTCATATATTCACAAGGCATTTATATGAGAAAGCTCTTGTTTTGAGACTGTAGAAAGAGCTCAATTAAACAAGACAAATAATCTGATTAACGGCAAAAAAATTAGACGATACTTTTAAAAAGAACATATATGAATTGCTAAAAAGCAAGTGAAAAGGCACTCAACATTATTAGTCATCAGTAAAACGAAAATTAAAACCACAAGATACTATTTTACACACACTAGAATGGTTCAAACTAAAAGGACTGACAATACTAAATGTAGGTGAGAATGTGAAGCAGTTGAAACTCTCATTTTTTTTTCTGGTTGAATGTGTAAACTGGTACAGTCACTCTGGAGAACTGTTTGGTAATTTCTCACAAAGTAACACACACATCTATCCTATGACCTAGAAATTGCACTGTTTGGTACTTACCTAAGAGGAAATAAAAATGTATGTCCAAAAAAAGATTTATATGACAGTGTTATGACAGCTGTATTCATAATAAGCAAACTCCGGAAACAAGAAAAACCTTCAGCAATAGGAGAACAGATAAATGAACTGTGGTATATTCATACAATGGAAAACTTAGCAAGAAAAAGGAATGGACTACTGATATATGCAGCCACATAGATGGAAAATGAATCTCAAAAATATTATGGAAGGAATGCAGCCAGAAACAAAAAGGTATATACTGTATGAATCCATTTATAAGTAGTTCAAGAAATGGCAAAACTAAGTCCAGCAAAGTTAGGTTTCTTTTTTTCTTTTTCCTTTTTTTTTTTTTTTTTTTTGAGACGGAGTTTCATTCTGTCGCCAGGCTGGAGTGCAGTGGCGCAACATCGGCTCACTGCAACCTCCGCCTCCCAGGTTCAAGCGATTCTCTTGCATCAGCCTCCCCAGTAGCTGGGACTACAGGCACGTGCCACCACACCCAGCTAATTTTTTATTTTTAGTAGAGACAGGATTTCACCATGTTGGCCAGGATACTCTCGAACTCTTGACCTCGTGATCTGCCCAAATCGGCCTCCCAATGTGCTGGGATTACAGGTGTGAGCCACCTGTGTAACTTGCTTAAACAAGGGGGAGTAGTCCAAGGGAACTGTGAAAGGCCCCTGGATGAGAGGAAGGGAGGGTTTGGTGTGTGTGTGGTTTTTGTTTTATTTCGGTAGAGTTTGGGTTCCTAATTACTCTACAAGGTGCACCAGAATTGGAGATATTTGCCCAAATTCATAATTTTTGAAAGAGAAAAATAAATACATTCAGAGTACTAAGTGTTATTCCTATTTCAAGATTGAAGAAATTCCGATTAAATTATTCTAATTTTGTGAGGAAGCTAGCATTTGAATTCAGTTCTCATGCCATATTCCAAACGGCCACACCAGATATCTGGCAGATTAAGGGAAAAGAGGAAAAAATTAAGCATCAATCTACCTGTGGCACTGTGTAATAACAATCTCAGGATTTTAACATTTAACTTACTCTGTTTGAAACAGCGATCACAAAGGAATAGACAAGGGGACCACAAATCATTAAAACTGCTGTCAAACAAAATAGAGAACATTTTCCCTAAAAGTTATTTGTTTGTGTAGCGAATAACAAGCTCGCCGTTCTCACTGGAAAGCAGAAGATGAATAAATGAACGAGCTCCAATAAGAAGTCTGCAACCTTTCTTCGAGGTTCATTAAACTCAGTTTATTGAATGACTGTGTGGTTTCTCTGCAAAGAGCAGTTTTGGGAGGAAAGACCCGAGGTTATCTACAACACAAGAACCTCACACATAGGAACTGATCCAGTAAGCAGGATCCTGAAGAGAGGCAAACAAACCATTTTTTGCATTGTTTTGTTGGAAACGCCGGGCACTGCCAACAGTGCTTTACATCACTGTTCCTCAAATTTTAATGTGCATTTGACTCCTGGGAATCTTGTTAAAATATAAGTTCTGATTCCCTAAGTCTGGTGTGGAGCTGAGACCCTGAATTTCTAAAAAGCTACCCAAAGATACCAGACTGTCTGTAGGGGTGGGAGTGGCGGAGGCGACTACAGGGGAAAGCTTCACTTTGAGTGATCGAGAGGCTCTACGCAACTGGCAAGAAGAAACTCAAAATCCCTCGTTCAGAGAGAGACAGAGAGAGACTCACCAGCCCCCCGATCCCTGGGCAGCAGTAAAGCGAGCTGGGTACTGCGCCTAGAATCCCAGTTCTTACCCCAGGATCAGCAGCGCGCTCTGCAGCTGTCTCCGCACCTCCAGAAATATGCGCGTTTCTGCCGCAGTAGCCGCCATGGCGGGCGTCCAGTCCCGGACCGGACCAAGCCGGAGATTCCGAGGGGCCCGGGTCAACAGGACCAGGAGAGGTTCCACGTGCGGACCAACCAGCAGCAGCCCCGCGGCGGCGCAGGCGCCTGTGACAGAGCTCATGGCTGACACCGCCTACTGGCTCACAGCGCCGCCTGCCGGCCGGAGAGTACACCACCGAGAAGGCGAGGGACCCCCTGAGGCCTGGGCGGGGCGCGCATTTTCAAAACCAGGCTTTGGCCCACAGCGCTGAGAAAGGGGTGGGCGGCGAGAGGTGAGCTATCCTCCCACTCTGCTTCTTTTGAGCGTGACTTGGCGCGTTAGCCTCCCTGGAAATGACCATAAAAATCAGACCCAAGGTTCACTCCTTTGGCTAACTCGAACTGAGGGAGGTGATGGAGGCAGGTGTTACAGGTGGACTTTGTCTCCAGGAAATCCAAGAGCAGAATTCCTGGCCCCAAACCCACTTTATTTTGGTCTCTTTATGAACAAGGGTCATTTGTTAGCCTCTGTCTAAAGTAACAAAATTTTCAAGAATTGGCTTGCCATTGCTTCTCAACTTAGGATAACTCCAAAATTGAAACGGGTGCAAAAACATGAGGAAATTCTTTGTTACCTAATGCAAAAGAGTATGGCTGAAGTCTATCGGGACTAACCATTTTTTAGGGGGTAAAAAAGGAAGATGAGAATGATTACGTATGTACAGCTCCACTATTCACTTTCACAAAAGTAAAAACTAAGAGAAGTTGTCATCCCATTACTACTAAAAGATAGTTTTGAAAAGTTTGACACAGTAAATACTTATAATGAAAAACTATTTAAATATAAGACCAGGGTAGAATTACAATCGGACTTCTTAAAAACAAGGAACTGCTGTTTTTTGTTTTGTTTTGTTTTTAGACAGAGTCTCTCTCTGTCGCCAAGGCTGGAGTGCAGTGGCGCAATCTCGACTCACTGCAACCTCCGCCTCCCGGGTTCAAGCGATTCTCCTGCTTCAGCTTCCGGAGCAGCTGGGATAACAGGTGCACACCACCATGCCCGGCTAATTTTTGTATTTTTGGTAGATCCGCCCGCCTCGGCCTCCCAAACTGCTGGGATTACAGGTGTGAGCCACCATGACCGGCCTAGACCATAAATAAATTCTAAATAAATAAATCCTGTCATGTTTTAAGATAATAGCTTAAGACAATTTTTCTAAAATCAGTATTTGGGGTGATTAAAGTGTATTATGTTGATGCGCAAATTATTATATCTATCCCAATAATTTGAAATCATAGATGGAAGCAACAACTCACTTTAAAAAATGAAGTTTACTACTGTTTGGTCTCAAGTAATTCATTTATTTGAAGGATGATGATTTCAACTCTTCATATCTTCCTCCTTTAATATCCGAGACTATTGAATGCTTAAATATTGACACATTATATTGAAATACACAACTTCCTTAGCACAGCTTATTCTTTATAATTGTTTTGTTAGCTTAAAAGATTGTTATATATTTATAAATATATAAGCAAAAAGATTGTTATATATTACGTATTTGCAAAAACTTTCATTTTTTTACCCCATGGTGTTTGCAAAACGGTGCAATTTACCTTGGAGTAACTAGATATGATTGATAGAGCTCTAGACTCAAAATAGTTCCAAATCTGACACCAACTATTTGTCTCCTAACTTCACAAGTCTCCTAACCTCTCTGGGCCTCAGGTTACTCATATGAAATACTGAGATACTATTACAATAATATTTAAAAGCTGTTTTCAGTTCCTATTATCCCTTCAAATGAAAACATCTGCTAACCCCCTTTCTAACCACTCCTGAAATTGGTAGCCGTGGCCGCTTCCAGCGACAGTCCACTTGAGGGCGCTGTGGCAACAGCTAGCGCCGGGAGGCAGGAAGCCGACCGGGGGCGGGGATCGAAGGCCGCAGACGTCGACGCCGGCGTGGGCGCGAGCGCGGTGCACGCTGGGAGCTGTCACTAGGCCCTTCGGCTCCCGGTCTCCGTGTAGCTGCCGTGGTTGCCAGGAGAGCGGCGCCGGCTAGGAGCGGCCGAGCCAGCAGCAGGTAAAAGTGTCCCCGCCCCCAGTGCGGTCGCTAGGCTGGTCGCCGGCTCTAAGCATCCTTCTTGGCCGGGCTAGGTCCTGAGCCGCGGGGACGCCTTGCGGGTCTGACTGCTGTGGCGTCGGGGGTGTTGCCGCTCCGGCCCCGCCAGAAGCCGCGAAACTGGTCGGCCGCCCTCTGGTTTCCGGGGAGTCGAGAGCTGCGCGGGGACTAGAGGGCTAGAGCTGGGGCCAAGGCCTGGCCTGGGCAGACGCGCGAGGGCGGCCCCAGGTGAGGCAGGCTGGAGGCGGGGCCGGGGGCAGGTCCCGAGCCTCCCTTGCTGGCGCGGAGCTGTGCGCAAGGCTGGGGCAGAGGTCGCACCTGTGCGATGGAGGCGCGCGGAGTACCCTCTTTGTTGGAGGAATTCAGTCGTTGTGCCTTTTCCTCGGCTGGTGGGTTCTTTTAGCATCGAGGAGACACGTAGGCCCGCGATGGTTCATGTTCTCCAGGGGGCTTAGAAAGGAGTACCGAAGTTTATTAAGAGGAAGTCAGAAGAGTCAAACGGGAGTTGTTAACAATTATCACCTTTGATTCCCAAGCCTTTTAAAGTTGCAACATAACAATAGTCACTTGTTCGGGCCTCCTCCATTCTTGTACCCTGAGGGGGCGGGAAATGGCACACAACTATTTTTCTTAAGCTAAGTACATTGTGTTTGAACATTTTTACACTATCTTAGAGTTCTATGGCGTTTGAGAAATGTAAAGATTGGGAAAATGACTTCGACTCCAGCTAAAGCAGTCAAAAAAAAATGATAATTACCAAAAATGTAGGAAACTGTTTGTCTAACAAATAGGCCCTGAACTGTAGAAAGACAAAAATCTGTTTTGATGTTGTTGGCCATTGTCTGTGCAGACATAAGTTCTTACATTTTGATTTTGTTTCTGGGTATTAATATGGTCTACAGTGAATAACATATGTCAGCATTATGTACTAAGTAACTCACCACCTGATAGATAACAGTGATTTGGGTGGGCCGACTGAAGTTATGAGTAAATTAAAACCACGAGTAGTCTGAATGCTTTATTTTAGTGATTACTTTCGGCCAAAACTGATAACTAAATCATTCTCTGTAATTGTTAAGCAGTAGCAAATCTCCACGTGGGCTTGATTATTAGGGACCTAGTGCTGAAAGAAAGAACTAAAAACACCCAATTTAATACACAAACCAGAAAATGGGACACCATAGCCCAAATCTTTAAGGTACGTGCTGTCAGTTAAATGTTTGATTGTATACATTCAAAGAAGTCCTATTTTGTAGTTAAAGTAACGGAGTGAGCTCTGGCCTAGGAATGAAGAGATTCGATTCAAGTCCTTTAATCTGCTACTAGCCAGGTGTGATCTCTGGGCTTCGGTTTTGTCATCGTTTAAGGAAATTTGAAAAGACCAGGGTTTTCCAAACTGGTATTTCCCCCAGAACAGTGTTCTAAAGCCATTTAATAGGCTTACTTCCCCCAAAGCAGTGTTCGTTGGCAATTAACTTGGGAGCACACTAGGTTAAGCTAGGTTAAACTTTTTTGCTTATAAAGGCAGGACTCTTCAAAACCTTTACTGTTATGCTGATACATGTAAATCTCCAGGTTATCCTAGCATTCCCAAACTTACCTGATCTATTTTCTCATGGCCAATTGGTTAACAACTCTTAGAATATAATTACATAGAATATAAATTTAAAAACTGCTGTACTTGAGCTGAGTCCTCTTCAACTGTAAAGGTCCATGCATTAGGCTTATTTTTTGGCTGTCATTTTAAGCTTTTTGGAGCATGAAGATCTAGTGGCAACTCACTTATATAAGAAAAGAATTATATTTATCTTAGTAAAATATAAGAATACAATTAAGTTCCCCTGAGTCTTAATGCTTTAATTATTGGCAGAAGAGTTACCGTATTCTGCTTTTGTTACTTTTTTTTTTTTTAACTATAATTCATGTTTTGAATTTTATTTTATGGTGGAGTGGAGTTATTGATTTTATTCAAAATGGCATTTTAAAGTTCCAAAAAGTGAAGACTTGTTGATAATGGCATCACTTTTGCTATGATGATTTCTCCTTATAGTCATGAATTCCTAAAATGAAATTGTGGTAGAAGCCACCCAAAATGTGCTTACTGTGTAATAACTACATAATTTTAAGAGCTTATATCATGGAAAAGAGCTAAAGGCTAAAACACAAATTCTGAGACAGTTATTTCTAAATTGCTTTACAAACAGGATGTGTGCTGAACACAATCTTAAACTGTTTTGCTAAAGTCTGTTAAGTGTCACTAGTACCCAACCAGTGTGGGTATTCTGTTCATTATTTGTTACTTTCTTAGCGGGAATGCTGTTAATGCACAGTTTTGCTTGGGGATAAGAGAGGTGGGAATAGAACATGTAATTTTAACAGATAAGTGTTATTTCAGGTAAATTATCTCCCTGAAATAAAACTATTAAGTAGAAATGTTAAGCTAATATTTTTTGTGTAATAGCTAACAGTTTTTATTGAGAATTATGTGAAAATACGATCCCTTTGTCTTTAATTGGCGGTTTCCCTTTTTCATTTATGGTATTTACTTCCTCCTCTCCAAGTTATCCAAGCCTTTAATCTCAATGACCTTTCATTGCATTGGTCAATGATACAGTATCAGATTTGTTAAGGAAAAATTTATATACACAGATGTACATTCATTTAAGTGTACATTTCAATAAGTTTTAGTAGATATATATGCACCCATGTAACTACCACCACAATCAAGATTTGGAAGATGCCACCACTCAGGCACATATTGTTATACTTTTACTCTCAGAATGTCCTCCTGTTTCTGAGTGTCTAAATTATACCTGTCTTTTAAGACCTAGCTCAAATGCCTATCCTGTGAACCTTTTTTTTGATTACCTCATTTTGAATTAATTTCCTCCTCTTCTGACTTTCCTGTTCACATTTTTTTTTTTTTAACATTCTTCTCCGTTCTTTGTGGTGGCTAACCCAGTGGCGAACGTATAGCCGACACTTATTTGTTGACCAAATGG